AGGCGTCCGTCGAAACCATTTGGCGACGGAAAACTGCACCCATGCCGACCCCTTTCCAAAGGAAGAGAGGGTCCCGCCGAATTGAAAGGGTGCGGAAGCAACTGGGCGACACCTTCAACAGGCAAAGAGCCGGTCCTGTGGACCGGGCACCTGGGAGTTTCATCCACCACAGAAACGGTCTCATGTGGAGCAACCCTAGGGGAAGCACAGAGGATGCTGCGGCCATGAGACCCAGAAGCCTGCGGCAAGTGCCCACAGAAACACGATGGCCGAGCGTGAAGCGAGCCAAACATGTCAAAAGACTGGAAATCCGGGCAGAAGCCAAACGGGCCTGCATCAGAACGGAATCCAGGCGCACCCCTAAGAAAACTGTGCTTTGAGTTGGGGTAAGAACACTCTTCTCTGTGTTCAAACTCAGGCCGAGAGACTGAATGTGACGAAGGACAATGTCCCTGTGGTGAGTCACTAATTCCCTGGAGTGGGCTAAAAGGAGCCAATCGTCCAGGTAGTTGAGTATACGGATGCCCTGGAGCCGCAACGTGGCCAGAGCAGCATCCATACACTTTGTGAACGTTTTCGGCGCTAGAGCGAGACCAAAGGGAAGGACCCTGTACTGGTACGCCCTCTCTCCAAAGGCAAACCTGAGGAACCTCCTGTGTCACCGTACGACCTGAATATGAAAATATGCATCCTTCAGGTCTACTGTCACGAACCAGTCCCCTGCTCAAATTTGAGATGTTTACATTTGATTACGTCAACATCTTGAATTTCCCTTTGTAAAGGGAGAAATTTAGCGGGCGCAGGTCTAGTATCGGTCGCAGACCTCCGCCCTTTTTCGGAACCAAGAAGTAACGGCTTAAGAAGCCTTGCTCGACTTCCTTCGGAGGAACCTCTTCTATTGCTCCCTTGAGGAGAAGGGACGAAATCTCCTGCTGTAGTACAGAAGCCTCTGAGGCACTGTTGACTACAGTTGGAAAGACTCCGTTGAAGCAAGGGGGCGGGCGACAGAAGTGTGTAGCCGAGCCGAACCGTGTGGAGAGTCCAAGGCGATACCCCTGGCAGACGCCTCCATTCTTGAAAGAAATGAGATAGAGGTGGAGTGGAGTGTTGCAATGCGGCGGACATACCTGTGTTAGGGTGAGGCGCTGACTCCTGTGGGGTGGTGGAGAGCACTTGACGTCCTGACACGTAGTCCTTCAAGACGTCCGCCTGGTAGGCTTGGAGGATGGCCATAGTATGTAGGGCCATGCCTGCCTGACCAGCTGCCATGTAGGACTTTCCGATAAGGGAGGAAGTAGTCCTGCACGGTTTAGAGGAAAGGAGGGGGTGAGATTTCCACGACAGAGCAGACGACGGAGAAAGGTGAGTAGCCAACGTGTCCTCAACCGCTAGAATGGCGGAATAGCCCTGCTCCACAGAACCAACGAGGTTGGTGAAGTCAGCGGCTGCCGCGTTTGTTAGACGCGCGGAAAAAGGCTGCTTCCAGGATCTGGAGATCTCGTGATGCAGATCACTGAAAAAGGGCAGCTTTCTCTGCTCAGGCCTAGAATTAGGGCCACTTAAAAATCTCTCATCGAGTTTAGACGATTGTGACTCGCGGGGCTCGTCTGGCCACACGTCGATAAGCTCCGTGTAGGCCGCAGTAGGCCGCGCCTCCTGGCCGCTAGGCGGGAGACCGTCAGTAGCTAAAGCAGGCCCAAAATCCTCGGAGTCGGACGCTGTAGTGTAAATAATATCTTCCAGCCCGAAAGAAACCGTCTCGCGTGCTCTCGGGCTGGGGCATAAATAATCACTCGACTGGCCGAACTCCGCGTGCGTGCTCGGGAGAGGGAGGGAGAGAAAGGGCCTGGCCCATCTGCTCGTACTCTATATCCTCGAGCTCTACATCCGAACCCCAGGTCGCGGATTCCAACGAGGCTTTGGCAGCCTCGGGAGCGCGACGGGGGGGAACGATCCTTCTCAAAAACCGCGAGCCGAGAGCGGAGGGTTTTGAGAAGCAGGTTGTCACACAACTTGCATTTAGACAAGCCTAAAACAGCCTCGCGCGCATGCAAAAAACCCATACATTTGACACACTTACTGTGAGGGTCGTCTATCGCAATAAAGCAACGACGAAACTCCATGGCACTTCACCGCAAGGAGAACTGAGTTCCACTATTCGCAGTAACTGAAGTGCAGATGAAGAATGCTGATGATAAATCCGAATTATTTGGGCCAGAAAAACCGAGAACGAAGGGCTTAAGATGGCCGCTTCGTGAAGGCAGAGAAATCTGAGGAGCAGATGGCGCGCGCGCTACTATGATATGACGACGCAAGAGCGTCGGGGCGGCACCCGCACCATAAGTCAATGAATTGGCGTGATTCTATAAGGGCTTCAGACAATCGGCACACCCAGAGGACGTTCCCACTGCGTCTTAAGCTACGCAGCGTTGAGTGAACCTATGAAAGAGAACGTATTAGTGTGGACATGGCCAGAGAGATTTCTCTCACGCAGAGCCACAGCGCGCACAACACGACAGCCCCTGCTTAAAGGCGTCATATAATGCCATTTTTGTACAAGCTAATATGATTCATTAGGGTCTAAATTAAAAGTTTGTAATATACTTTAATTAAAAATTCTCATTAGTATTGTAAGAAAACACTTATTTTACCTGGTCAAAAACAGCTCTGTTTTCAGCACGCTGTTTCAGTGCATATGACTTTAAATGATAACGAGCTTTGTTTAGTTTAGTTCCTTTATTGTCCACAAGTGGAAATTTGTCTTTGGCTTCACTATACACCACACACAAGGACATCACAAACATAAAAATATACATAAAATAAAAACAGTAACATTTCCATGCAGCTATACATAGCTTACATATCCACCTCTACTCATATTCACGTCTTCTCAGCATTTAAAATTCAAATAGCAGTTGGCACAAATGACATCTGGTACACATTTTTACTCGCCCTAGGTTGTCTAAACCTTCTCCTCGATGGAAGCAACTGAAAGCTAGAGTGTAAGGGATGAGAGGAATCCTCTATAATAACCCATGCCTTTTCTTTAACTTTCAATAAATATATCTCATTCAATTGTCTTTGTGTCTCACCTACGATTGCTCTAGCTACGTTAACCACCCTAGACAATTTCTGCTTGGATTTAACAGTCAGAACTCCATACCACATAGTCATAACCATAACGCATTGTTCATTATAAACGGGGGATTATGAATTATATTGAGAACGTCGTACAAAGAAAACATGCCGTAATGTACCCTGAGTGTAAACCTTAGACGCATTCATCGTGAAGCATGCAAGCGATTTGCAAAGATTAATATAAATATTAATATAAAGGTTAATAAAACGTTACACTCACTTCAGTTCTTCTGGAGGTTCAGCAGGAACACAAATAGTTGGTACCGATCCTTTATTCAGGAGTAGCTTCTTAGCAAAACCAGCTTTATACTGACCCTCCTTATAAAGCAGTCTGGTGAGAAATGATTCGCGCAAACAGGAAAGCATTGACGTTGCTCGTGGGGAATATTCCCTTCGAAAACAAAACTCAGCCACTGCGTCTTCAGCGGTTCGGATTTGGGAACATTAAAATGACTGCTGTGTTCCTTATTGCACCCAAGAACAGAACACCACAATCGCTTAGACACCATTCTGCTCATAGACAGTGCTCCAGCATATCAACAATGACCGTGCCGGTCCGCGCAGACTATGATTGACAGCTCGCTCACAAGCGAGGGTGGGTCTGTGTTGAAACGCTGCTGTCAATCAACAATCCTGGGAGGGGCGTCTGACCGTGTGACGTCACACAGTCGAACGGGTTGATTTGAGACATGGGAAAACATATAAGGAGATTAAAAAAAAAAAACACTGGATGGATTTTTATCATTATATGATGGTTGTGTACAGGCACTGCCAACACACATTTCAGTACAATAAACTTGTAAAAGTGCATGTATCATTATATGACCCCTTTAATGAGTGACGATGGAGGACAGAACTAACATTCAAACGTATGGTTACACTTTAGATCTGTGATATTAAACTCATTTTATTTTCGATTTCGATTTTGGGCTTCCAATGATTATAAAAAAGAAGATATTTGAGGTAAAACCATTAAAAACTATAGCCACATTCTGTCTACTTCCTTCCCTTCACAGCGGTGCACTGACATTTCTCCCTAAAACCCAAACGTAACGTCAGAATCAGCACAATCGGTGATTGTTGTAAAATCCAGTCTCTATTGTTGCTAAATTGCGGGACGCGTTTGATAATAAAAAGCTATTAAAAGCACCAAAATCAACGCAAGAGATGCTGTTCCAAAGGTGGCGCACGCTCCAAAACAGACCGCAACGAAACAAGAAAATTATACTTTGGGCTTCGTGTGTGCTTCAAAACGAATAAATATACACTTAAATACAGTTTATGTCTTAAATGGGCGTAAATAGTTTGGAGAAAATATGATGTGTAATAATTAGTATATCTGCAATTGGTCTTAAAGGGGTAGCAGTCTAATAAACCTGCAGACAATTGCGCCATAAATGTGAATCAAACAACAAAAGGCAAAGAGAAAATCAGTCACAGCTCTTGAATGAATAAATTTGGCTTTTATAAGCTTTAATCTATCTATGATAAACTATGTGTTATTTTACATTTGATTACTTTATTAGATTTATTTTTAGCCCATATTACTTATGTCAGTAGACCTTACTGAAATTAAAGCACTGTATATACTTTGTATCTCTGTTTTATTGTATATTGTATATGAGAGAAATAGGTCTTTTGTGTACATAGAAAAAGTCTTAGATCTTTGAGTTCAGCTCATGAAAAATGGGGGCAAAAACAAAAGTGTTGCGTTTATACTTTTGTTCAGTGTATAATATAAATTATAGTGGGGGAAATGTATAAATAGCATTTTTACTAGTGGTCTCAGACTTTTGGTCCCAACTGTACATGCATAAACCCTGAGCTGATTATAGACTGCCATTTTGCAATTTGTTTTAAAGGAACTGCACTGGGAGCACCAACAAGTGTACTTGAGTCCTCTGTTCTGGTTAATCTACGTAATGTCAATTCTACTAATGTTGTAAGTACCACATCTGGCACCACAGCTGGCACGACAGCTAACACCACAACTGGAACCACAGCTAACACTACAGCTGGCACCACAGCTAACACCACATCTGGCACTACAGCTAACACCACAGCTGGCACCACAGCTAACACCACAGCTGGCACTACAGCTAATACCACAGTTGGAACCACAGCTAACACAACAGCTGGCACTACAGCTAACACCACAGCTGGCACCACAGCTAACACCACAGCTGGAACCACAGCTAACAACACAGCTGGCACCACAGCTAACACCACAGCTGGCACGACAGCTGGAACCACAGCTAACACCACAGCTGGCACCACAGCTAACATCACAGCTGGAACCACAGCTAACACTACAGCTGGAACCACAGCTGGCACCACAGCTAACATCACAGCTGGAACCACAGCTAACACCACTGCTGGAACCACAGCTAACACCACAGCTAACACCACAGCTGGCACTACAGCTAACACCACTGCTGGAACCACAGCTAACACCACATCTGCCACTACAGCTAACACCACAGCTGGCACCACAGCTAACACCACAGCTGGCACCACAGCTAACACCACAGCTGGAACCACAGCTAACACAACAGCTGGCACTACAGCTAACACCACAGCTGGCACCACAGCTAACACCACAGCTGGAACCACAGCTAACAACACAGCTGGTACTACAGCTAACACCACAGCTGACACGACAGCTGGAACCACAGCTAACACCACAGCTGGCACCACAGCTAACATCACAGCTGGAACCACAGCTAACACCACAGCTGGAACCACAGCTGGCACCACAGCTTACATCACAGCTGGAACCACAGCTAACACCACTGCTGGAACCACAGCTGGCACTACAGCTAACACCACTGCTGGAACCACAGCTTACACCACATCTGCCACTACAGCTAACACCACAGCTGGCACCACAGCTAACATCACAGCTGGTACTACAGCTAACACCACAGCTGGAACCACAGCTGGAACCACAGCTAACACCACAGCTGGCACCACAGCTAACATCACAGCTGGAACCACAGCTAACACCACAGCTGGAACCACAGCTGGCACCACAGCTAACATCACAGCTGGAACCACAGCTAACACCACAGCTGGAACCACAGCTGGCACCACAGCTAACACCACAGCTGGCACCACAGCTGGCACCACAGCTAACACCACAGCTGGCACCACAGCTAGGACCACAGCTGGCACCACAGCTAACAACACAGCTGGAACCACAGCTGGCACCACAGCTAAAATCACTGCTGGCACTACAGCTAACACCACAGCTAACACCACAGCTGGCACCACAGCTAACACCACAGCTAGGACCACAGGTGGCACCACAGCTAAAACCACAGCTGGAACCACAGCTAAAACCACAGCTAGGACCACAGCTAAATCAAATGCCAGCATTTCACTCAGCTTTCTGAGTCATGGTAAATACATTTCTCAAAAGTTATCCAATGTTGTGTTAAATCACAATTTATTCAACAATAACATGTATGTTATTTTCTCAATGCATCCAGTTCAAATAACTCTCTCTTTTCTTGTTATGACTTACAGTAGCAATTTGCCTTCTCAGTATCTTCTTGCATCTGATCTGATGAGACTGAGAGAGACCTGAGGACTAATCATATGGATAGGTAGTAACGTTGGCATGTTTTTCAAAAATATTCTTATTTCCATTGGATATTTCTTTATATTATTCTTTCTGTACGATTATTCACAAACATATAAGTAATCCATGTGTGTTTGACATATACATGGTATGTTGGCCACATATAAAAAGCCACGTTTTTTTTAGTTGTGTTTTAATTATCCTCTAAAATTATTTACTGATAGTGGAAATGATCATGAAAATGTACACTTGTATTTTGAAAGAGATTTGAAGTTACATTAAAAATATTTGTTAAAATAATACATAAAAAATATTATATATACAATTAAATACTATGTTATTAAAATGTTTAAACATTTTGTTGGTCAATCTTTACTTACTATAAATAAAAACAACATTGAAATTTAAATGTTTATTGTGATGTCTCTTTAAAGTGCCCCTATTATGTTTTTTAGAATATTACCTTTCATGCAGTGTGTAATATAGCTGTATGTGAATGTTTACGGTCTGCAAAGTTGTAAAGTCAAAAGTGCACAAATAAAGTTATTGTCTCCCAAAAGAAAGAATCAACCCTGAACCGCCTAAATGAGTTGTCAGGAATTACAGTCTCACGCTGCGTCCCAATTCGCATACTATCTGTCCTTAATAGTATTTTAAAATAGAATTAGTACATCCCAAATCGTAGTATGTTGAAATGAGTATTCCAAAGATACCCGGATGGTCTACTATTTCCGGTCAGAATCCAAATTGCAGATCGATGCACACTCTACGACTAATATTGCCCACAACCCATTGTGCGTTGGACAAGGATTTGATTCGAACTACAAACACAAGTAAAAAGTGTTAAAAAAACTACAGACATGCGAGTCCGACGCTTATGTAGAAAGGTTTAGATAAAGGGGTTTGAGTAATTAATTATCAGTGTCTAACCTGATGAAAAAAAAAATATTCAATGTTGTCCACAATATATATTTTATCTGCAGCAGCATTGTGAACTTTTGTAAAGATACGTTTAGCCATTCACTTTTAAATGCATCATTATATTTGTGGTGTTTTCACCCTTTAACAGAACACACTCCATGCGGTGTCCATATCAAACTTTTATTCGTCTTCTTCACAACAACAACTTATCTCAAAGATGCATATTCACATGACCTCTTATGCATCCGAACAACAGTAAATTTCGAATAGGCATTTCAACGGAGCATAATGAAAGCTTCTAGCACACTTTTATCCTCTTAACATAACACAGAATAACATTCATCAAACATTTCAGGATTCAGTGTACATTTGATTTTTTTTAGATAGGGCAGCGGTCCGCCTACACCCTTTACATTTCTTCTTGGTCTGACTAATTTCTTTATCTTCAGATACATTACTCCAACACATAGTCTTGAGTCCACAAAGGTGGTCGTCTCTGTCTTAAACCCCTATTCATACTCACAGCAGTGTTCTCGAATGTACAACCTCTTTCAGGTATGTCATCCTGTGCAGAGATTTCCTCTCTTTCTGGGCATAATGAAAGACGTGCTGAATTCCATCTTTTCCCATCACTTAAGATGAAAGACCTCGGTCCTGTTTGTTGTTGTACTGACAACGGATCAGTGAACCGGGCTTCTCCTTTTTTCACATGAAAAGGCTTTCTCACACTCACCTTATCTCCAACCGCAATTTTAAGAAATTTAGATCCTCTTTTACGATCGGCGTATTGTTTACTTTTGTTCTGTCTTTGTGTCACACGAGCTCTGACCTGAGCAAATTGATCAGGGCTATCCACAGGCAGAAAAACATTCAGCTTCGTCCTCATAGGTCGGCCTCTCAAGAGCAGAAAAGGGGTCTCACCCGTTGTAGCCTGGGGTGTCGCTCTATAGCTCTTCAGCATGGTCAGTACTGCAGATTTCCAGGGCTTACGAGTCACTTCAGCTGCTTGAAGACACTCTTTAAGCACCCTGTTGAACCGTTCAATGACCCCATTAGCCTGAGGGTGATAAACACTGGTCTTTATGTGCTTTATTCCCTGTGTTTTCACAAAATCAGCAAATTCAGATGAAGTGAACTGCGGCCCATTGTCTGTCGTGATGGTGGAGGGGTTTCCTTCTCGAGCAAAGATAGTGGTCAGAAATTTCAGAACAGTCTCTGTTGTTACTAATGAAGCAAAACCAACTTCTGGCCATTTGCTGAAATAGTCAATCAATGTTATTGCAAACTTACAGTCAGTAGCTCCCTTTTCGAACGGTCCTACTATATCAATAGCAACATGTTGAAATGGGCCTTTTGGGAACTCCACTGGCTGCATTGGAGCTGTAAATGTTTTGGCCGATTTATCACTGGCCTGGCAGGTCACACATGCGGATAGGATTGTGTGAACAAGATCGTCCATTCGCAGCCACCAATACAGCTCTCTCAGACGCTGTTTGGTTCGCACCAGCCCTTGATGTCCCTCGTGTGCCAGGTGGATGAGGCGTTCCCGCAGTGCAATAGGAACAATCACACGATTTCCTCTGAAAATCAATGGAGATTCAACAGCCAGTTCATGTCTAATCGGGAAGTATGGACGTAAGTCACTGGAGACAGACTTTTGCAGTTTAGGCCAACCTGTTTGAATTGTCTGACGTAACTGAGACAGCTCTGGACAGTCCTCGCATTCAGCTTTAAGGTCCACTAGCGGCAACGCAGTCAGGAAGGGCTGAATTTCTGCGATTTCAGAAATCAAATCCTGTTCAATGGATACAGTGGTGTCTGTGTGGCTCAATGGCATACGGGAGAGACAATCCGCCACACAGTTTTTACTACCTGGACGGTACTGGACATCATACTGGAAGCACAGGAGCCTAGCAGACCAACAAGCTACCCTCATGCCTGCTCTATTCATGCCCTTTGTGGAGAGAAGAGTAGTAAGGGCCTGATGATCAGTTCTTAGAGTGAAACAATGTCCCCACACTCCAAAGTTCTCCACTTTTCCACCGCCCAAACACATGCAAGCGCCTCCTTCTCCACAGTAGAGTATTTCCTCTCAGATGTTGATAGCATCCTGGATACAAAGGCTATTTATGATCCTTCCCTTCCAACATTCATTTCTACAGATGCCTCAGATTACGGCCTTGGTAACGTGTGGTTCAACACCATTAGGATGTAGCTGTGTCAGGACAGCACCAAGGCCGTAATCTGAGGCATCTGTAGAAATGAATGTTGGAAGGGAAGGATCATAAATAGAAAGAACAGGGCTCTCCAGCAGCATTCTCTTAGGCGTATTAAAGCTATCAACTGCTTCTCTACTCCACTGTAGTGGCGTTTTTGCATCAGCTCTGAGCATCTGCCTCAGCGGCTCAACCACAGTAGCATAGCCTGGAAGAAATTTGTTGAACCATGAAGTGAGCCCTAGGAACGAACGTAAAGTTACCATATCTGTAGGTCGAGGTGCTTCTGAAATGGCAGTAAGGTGGTCTGGGCTGGGAAGTAATCATTCTTTAGAAATGACATGACCCAGAAACGGAATGCTTGCTTGGTTGAAGGAGATTTTATCAAAGTTAATCTGCAAGCCAACCTCGTCTAGCCTTTGAAGAACATATTGGAGGTGCTTATCATGGGCCTCATTAGAATTACCATACACTATAATGTCATCCAAGTAATTCTTTACCCCTTCCAGCCCCTTTAGGACCGTTTGCATAATTTTTTGGAAGGCTGACGGTGCTGAAGCTAGTCCAAACGGAACCCGAGTGAAACGGAAAAGGCCTTTGTGCGTTATGAACGCAGTCAGGTTACGACTGTCAGGATGGAGAGGCAGCTGGTGGTAAGCAGAGCTCAGATCAATTTGACTCTAATGTGAAGCACCTGCAATTTCTGTAAACAAATCCATGTGAGGTAATGGACAGCAATCCATAATCACACTCTTATTGGGTTCACGGAGATCTACACAAAGTCTAATGCAGTGGTCGCCAACCCGTCGATCGCGATCGACTGGTAGATCTTTATCACTGTCCCAGTAGCTCCCGAAAAAAAATCCAACATTTTTTTAATCCAACTGCTTCATTTATTTTCAATGAAGTAACCAATCAGATAAGAGAAGAGCGCCCGTAAGTTAACTGTCGCAAACGTCAATATGGATCTCCATGGTGACAGCCCGCGTCCGCGAGGTAACAGTCAAACTAGAATGGCGGAGGCTACACGAAAGAAGGCAAAAACATACCATTTTCATCCAGAATGGGAACAGGAATTTATTTTTACCTTGGTAAAAGATAAGTGTGTATGTATGTTGTGCCACCAAAAACAATCATTATGTAAAAGAGGGAATTTGGAGCGGCACCACAATACCAACCACCCGAAATTTAAAGATCGCTACCCGCCAAAGAGCGCCATCCGTGCAAGGAAAGTTGACGAGCTGAGATCTGAGTTGAAGGCCCAGCAATCACTTTTTACAAAATCTTCTGATCAAAATAAGGCTGCGACTGAAGCATCGTTTCGTGTAAGTCACTTTCTGGCTAAAAACAAAAAGCCTTTTACGGATGGCGAATTATTCAAGGAAGCAATGGTCATTACTGCAGAGACTATTTTCAAGGATTTCAAAAACAAAGACGACATAAAAGCCTCACTCCGTGCTGTTGCTCTCGGCCCTGCATCAGTGACAAGGAGGGTCGAGTCACTGTCAGAGGACGTGGATCGACAGGTGTTAAAGGACTTGTCACTCTGTGAATATTTTTCACTGCAGTTCGACGAATC